GCACGCTTCAGTCTTTCTGTGAAGTAAGTTTAGGATCCCAGGTTCATCGAACAAGCATTGCTGCCTCTCCTCATCCGAAGTGGGATTCCACCATGCAGTTCCTGGTCAAGGCTCTCGCTGAAGACGTCCTCTGCATTACTGTCTACGAGAAAGGTTACTTCAAGCCAAATGGTAAGCAGATACACATTCACAGATGGACAGACAGGCACAGGCACAAGCATAGGCATAGGCATAGGCATAGGCATAGGCATAGGCATACACGCACAGACACAGATACACACACAGACACAGACACAGACACAGACACAGACACAAGCATAGGCATAGGCATAGGCATAGGCATACACGCACAGACACAGATACACACACAGACACAGACACAGACACAGACACAGACACAGATACAGATACAGATACAGATACAGATACAGATACACACACACACACACACACACACACACACACAGACACACACACACAGACACACACACACAGACACACACACACACACACACACACAGACAAAGACACACACACAGACAAAGACACACACACAGACAAAGACACACACACAGACAAAGACACACACAGACAAAGACACACACACAGACAAAGACACACACAGACACAGACAGACACAGACACACACACAGACACAAACACACAGACACAAACACACAGACACACACAGACACACACAGACACACACAGACACACACACACACACTCATTGTTGATCTTAATGCAAACTGATAACTTTAAAAGCTTTCCGTAATTAAATTTTAAAAGTTTGATATTTTACCTTACTAGATATTAATTTGCCTATTATGTGGACACCATTTTGTTAACTCATTTTGAGAGGGCTTTTATCATTTTTATAGCTTTAAGGAACTTATCCATGAGTTTACTCATTGTTCATGCGAGTATCCACATATGGTTTGGAGCAGATGGTTTTGAATTGCTGCTTGTTCATTACCAATGATTCATTAAAAAGATTGAACAGATTTTTATGTACTATATCTTCTTAATGTCATGTCACCTTTTTATGCACTCTTTTGTGGAAATTGGTTAGGCTTGATGCCTGGGGAAAAGGTAGCATGTCTTCCTTAGCTAACTAGATGTATTCAAAGATTACCCCTAAAATTTCATTCTGCTTCTTCTGTCTATGGATCTGTATTTTTTTCTTGATCTATCTATCTATCAGTCTGTTTGTCTTTCTGTCTATCTATCTATCTACTTATCTACCTACCTGTCTATGTTCATGAAGGCAGTGAATTTATATATATTGATGAATACTAAAGACTTTGAACATTTTACAGGAAAATGCATAAAGTTGTACTTACAATAATTTATGGAGAGGGATTTTATTTAGCAATTTAGGCAATCTAAGCATGTGTTAAGATCACAGACATGATCATGAGCAAGATGGGCCACGGAAAGGGCTCCAGATTCCTACTGGAGATTAGCAAAGTGATGCAAAATGGCAGATTTGTTGAATTGATGTAACAAGTCAAGTAACAGAGCCTTTGCCTATTTCAGAGTTCTTGGGAAGAACAGAGATCAAAATAAACCAAGTGCATGAAGAGTCGAAGAACCAGCCAGGAACACAGCCTCAAGTCCATAAGTTACAGCTTCAGGAAGTTAAATCTGGAGAAGTCATCCTGAAAATTTCACTTCAACTTTTTGAGCGTTCTTAAGTTTTGTATGATTCAAAAGAGATATATTTTATCCACTTTGTTGTTCCAAAATATGTTATATTTTGTTAGAACTAAGCAATAAAAACCATTGACCTATTACATGGGTAGGTTATGCAAGTATAATTATCAGTTTCTTTTTATCTACACAATAGATATGTAACAAGTGTTCCTTTTCTATACTGCCAATATTTACCATTATAAGACTAGTTTTCTTATCAGAATCAATAGTTTGGGTATTTGGCAGTTCCACTGGATTACTCTGAGGCACATTGGCAAGAAGTTGAGTAATGTCTTGGATAAATTTTACAGAAGATAAAAAAAATACCAACAAAAAATGACTGTATAATGACTCTTGTATAAAGATTTTAGTATATATATTCCAGTATTATTATCCCACAATATATGCAAATATTCCCTTTGCATATAAAGTCAGTAAAAAGAAAAATATATAAGTACTCTTTATTTTCAATTTTGCTATTGCTAGTTCATGCCAGTTCTGTCTTCATGGCATTATAGCAACCAGGTCTTTCTCACTGCGTGATCTTAGTTTCTGGGTTGAGGCCTTGGTGACCTCCCACCTGACAGGCACCATCTGAGGGGGTATGTGCAGACATGGGCAAAACTGAGTTGAGGGCAGTTTCATACTCGTGTAAATAGAAAAGCTCTCCTATGAAGAATAAGCCCCAAACTGTTAACTGTGTAAGGTAATGGGTGTTGCCACAACTATCTGGTCCGGGATCTTCAGTCATTTTCATATTTGTTCATTCTAGTGGCTCCCTCATTATGTAATTACAACATTATTCTTTGTTTTAAGATATAAGATATGAATGTGTTAAAATGAACCCCCAAATTATGGTTTTCCCAAATGGTTCATTTTGCAATTTATTTTATATAACAAACTACTAATCAGGTTGCAATAAGTTTCATGGCAAAGTACATATTTTGAATTTCCTTTCATATATAATATCAGTATAAAAAATGAACCTCCTCAATCCCTTGCCCGATGTTGTCGTGGGGGCTTAGGAGGCGGAGACTGGGACCCAATGCTGGGGAACTCCCCTGCCTTGGGACTCAGCCCTCGACTCGACTAATTTTGCATGGTCTCTTTTCTTTTCCCATTCCTGCTTTTTCGTTTCTGTCTCTTACCCAACTCCTACTATCCACTTCCTAAGGTGTGAGAGCCATGATGATAGGATGAAAGGCTGCCTTTGTGCCTGTCCTGAACGGCCTGAGGCACGGTATTCCCCTGTTTTAGTTGCCTAGCCCTTACCCCTCAAGGTGGTGGACTGTTTCTCTCCCCAACATACTCTAGGCTTACCATGATCAATAATGAAGATGTTATACCATCATTAGGGGCAATGAGGCTTGCCCTGTCATCAAATAGCCCCACCAATACAAACTCTCCTGTTTCCCTGATCCCAGGCTCTCCTTTGACTATGACTCTGAACACTACAACTACTACCCCCTCCTCAATACCTACTAGTACATTATCCACCCAAATCAACACTCAACCCCCAGGAGACATTTCTACTCTCCCAACATGCTCAACTTCATCACCTCTACCCTCAGAACCTTCTTCATCAGCTACCCTGTCCTCCCTTTTTACTACTTTACAGCCTTATTGTCCACCTCCTCATAATACTACCTCCCTCAACACTACTTCATCTTTCTACTACCTCCATCTCTATAAAAATCTTAAATACTCTATTTAGCCCAGCCAAATGGGACTGATTTTTCATGATCCCTACCACAGCTCCCTACTCTGACAACACTCTTCTTTTCCAGCAATGTCTCCAAAAACAAGTAGGCAAAGTCTCTTTCCGTAGCTGACCCAATCGTTCCTGTCTCGTCACAGTAACATCTGAAAACTAAGCTATAGCATTATCAAATCTAACTGATCTCTCTGGTAACCCCATTCCTGCTGAACCTCATCTAATCCTCAAAACTTGCACCAGAACTGTTTCTATCTCTAAGCAAATTACCCTATCTATAACAAAAATTGGTAAGATTGTGGAGAAGACATACTTGCCTGTCTCACGGACTATGATGTGATATCAGTACAGTGCTACTCCATTCCTCCCAGAGGTCATCATAAGAATCCCACTAACATTGCCAAAATTACTTTCCGTAGATATGATCTTCCATTTAATGTTTACAATGGTGGAGAATCCCTCCCTGTCTGACCATATCAACCTCCTCCCTGTCAGTACCAAAACTGTTGGTGTTTAGGACATCCTGCTAAACATTGCTGTTCCACAGCCAGATGCCCCATATGTGCCAACCTGGTCATACTCAATCAAACTGCTCTGCACAGTCACGTGCATGTGCCAATTGAGGCTGCCCCACCTACAAATTTGAATCTGAGGTGGCAACTGAGATTCAGACTTGGACTCACTCTACGTGAAGCCAGACAGGAAGTACGTCGATGAAGTTTTTCTCTTACTCCCTACTCCAGTAATATCACTTGCTCTGCCCCTCCCCCTACCTCCCAAGTTCCTACACCCTCCCCATAACCTATCCCTCTTACATCTTACTTCTCCCTCTTCTACCTCTTACCTTCCCCAGTCAAATTCTTTTGCCATTCTAAATCCAGACACTCCAATCTCTATTACAGCCCCAACACCTTCCCCTCTCCCTCTCCACCAGCAGCAAACAGACTAAATGTTCCACCCCTTCTTCCCCTACCACACACTCACCTCCACCTACCTTTGCCTCTACTCCTCAGACACCAGTCTCTTCTTCCCCCCCCTCATAAGAAAACCTTTGTCATGCAAAACTCCCCAACCAACTCCTTTACAGAAACTCTTGAAGATATTCAAAACTATCTACTTGAGTCCCAAACTGACACTGGAACCCCTCATCCACCTTCAAATTCCACAACTCCCACTCCCTCCACACTCAAAGTGACTGCCGATATTCAAACTCCTACTCACATTCCCCCTACACCCGTTCCTCCTACTACCTCCCAATACAGCCCATCCCCCCAGCTCCAGCTCCACCTACATTAATCCTCCCTCCATCCCCTCTATCCCTTCCACTCCCTCCTGGATACATGCGTGAATCCCTTATGTTACAACTAATCCCCTCCCCCAGATCCTCTGCCTTCTGATACCCCTCCTGATACAACACCACCTCCCACCTCTCATTCCTTATCTCACCCCTCAGCTCCTTCCCCTTCAAATTCTCCAACACACACTGTAACCGTTATCACTCATAAATCAACTAAGGTATAACTATCCTTCATTGGTATATTCGTGGTTTCTGTTCTCACAGACCCGACCTTCGTCATATCTTATAACCCATCCATTATATGCCTTCAAGAGACTTCTTACACATCCTCCTATACCAATTCCCAATTACCATTTTGTCTCGTCCTCACACTCCCTTTATGTCTCATTTATACTTATCCATCAGAAAACATCTTATGTCATACCTCCCTCTCAAACCCCTGTCCCTTGCACAGTTATTCGCATCTTTCTTCGCCACTGGATCACTAATTTCAGCCTACCTCTCCCCTTCCCACCCCATTGACTTTGTTGCCTTTGAAAATCTAATTTCACAACTTCAGCCATCTTTCCTCGTAGCTGGTGATTTTAACTGCAGCCACACTCTTTGGGGTGATTCTATCACCAACTCCCTGGCCGATCCATAGAACGCTTTCTCTCCACAACTGACCTTATTATTCTTAATTCAGATCACCCCACATGCTTTGATATATACATGCATTTTTTTTTTATGCATTGACCTCTGTGCTCCCCTTCTCTTCCTTTAGATTTCCATTGGTCAATTCTAGATCACTTTCAATATAGTGACCACTTTCCAGTCCTCCTTCCTCCTACTTTATATGTACCACTTCCTAACTCCCCATGCTAGTTCTGTCTGGCGTAATTTTCCACTCTCTGCTATTCCTACCGCTCCATCCTCCTTCTCGTCCATTTCAGATATGATACAGTGTGTCAGAACCACAGTCCTAAGAGCTGCCCATACAGCTATTCCTCGAACCAAATGTGTTCCATGCTGGAATTCTGATTGTACTAAAGCGCTTCGCATAAAACGTGCAGCCTGGAACAGTTACCACTACAAACGAGGCACCCCTAATCTTTGTTGTGCAATCCGGAAAAGTAAAACAAATAGCTGGCGAAAATTATGTTTCCTCAGTTACATCTACATCTATCTCAACTGTTTGGTGCCAGATCCATAAACTATCAGGGAAACATCCCCCCCCACAGCCCCTGTCCTATAATGCTCCTTTTTCTTCCTCTGAACTCAACGCTGCCTGACAGTCGTACCACAACATTCATGAAGGCCCTGACGGTATTCACTACTGTATGCTCTGTCACCTTCCATGTTCTTCTCTATCCTTCCTATTAACAATTTTTAACGACATATGGACATCATGAAATTTTCCCTCTCGTTGGCGAGAAGCTCCTATCCTCCCCTTCTTGAAACAGAATAAATCAGGTACCCTCCCTCAAGACTACTACCCCGTCGCTCTAACTAGCTGCTTGTACAAACTTAACTTAACATTTAATGTGGTATCTTGAATCTCACAATCTTATCTCTCCTTCCCAGTTTGGTTTCCGCCATGCCTGAAGCACAGCTGACCCACTTGTTCATTTTGAGACATATATTACATCTGCATTTGTACGCCATGAATCTGTATTAGCCATATTCTTTGACTTTGAAAAAGCATATGATACCACATGGTGGTAACATATTCTCCAACAATCCATACCAAATCTCTGCCAATTCCTTCAGTCTGCAATGTCATCAGTATCTTCCTGGGCCACAAACCATGGATTCCTTTTTTCTACCTCCAAATCTTTCTCCATTCTTTTTTCTTGTGCACGTGTAGGTCCCCACCCTCCACTCTGCTTATGTGGTGCTCCACTCTAATACTGTTCCTCTGGCAAATGCCTAGGTGTTATTTTTGACTCCAAGCTGTGCTGGTGAGACCATGTTCTTTACATTAAAGAAAAAACTCACTGCCGTCTCTGAATCTTACAAACTCTATCCCATGTATCTTGGGGCTCAGATTGCAAAATGCTCTTTCATCTTCATGTTACCTTGATCCTCTCCACTCTTGATTATGGATGCCATATCTACTCCTCTGCCTCAATCTCTCTCCTTGCCCAATGCAACACTGTGGTCTTCACTTAGCCCTAGATGCCTTCCGCTCCTCTCCACTTGGGAGTCTGTTCACTGAATCAGGCATACCATCTGTCGGAACAGACGTTAGTAGACGGCTCTCGCCTGCTGCATTGGCCATACCTGTCTAACGCACTCCTATCTGATGTCACACTCTGATCCACCCCTATGTTCCCTATGTAATGTCCCTCTTTCAGTTCCACACATCCTATTACCATGCTCATGCTTTGATACAGCCCCTACCTCTGCTTTCACCCACCTATCCTCCCTTCACCAACATCCCAACCTATTAGACATCCTTACAGAATCTCACACTTTCTGTTTTGACAACCTGTTTTCCTTCTTCAGACGCAAACATATCCTTCACTTGATCTTACCCCTTTACATTACCTGACCTTAACCCTTTCACTCATCAACTCCTCTGCCCAGCTTTGGTAACTAATCACTAACTCAACCATCCTTCACTAACATTTACTATAGTGTTACATGACCACATTTATTTTATTTTTAACCTTTAACCATTAACCATAAAAAATGAAACTAAAATAAAGAAAATGGCCAGACTTCAAATTGCTTTTTCTAGGTTTTATTTTTTTTAAGCAACCTTTTTTATCTCACTAAAACTCCTTTCTTTTTATTGGAAAGAAGATTAAAACATGATCATCAACTGATTTTTTTTATTTAGGAAAAATAAGAGGAATAAATATGCAACTGTCTTATTTTGGGGAAGATATTGTCTTACTTGGAAAGGATGCACCCAAAAGACTAAAGGAAAATTGCACAGGTGAAAGACAATAGACTTACAGCAATTTTGATAATTTATACTATTCTAATGTCCTATAGTGCTATATAACCTTTGATGTCTAGCACATTTATTTACTTAAACCATTAACCATCTAATGTCCTACTGAGCAATGGTGCATGAATTATTCATCCCTCTACGCTCAGTAAACAAAATGCAATTTCCAATTTCTGAGAGGATATGATTAATCCATCCATATGATTAATCCATCCATGATCCATCAGTGATCCATCAGTGTCAATGTGTGGTCTATAGTCAGTAACAAAATCATTCTATATCAGGGTGTTATCTTTGCATAAGCAAAAAAATAGAACAGATTGGCATCTTAGGTAGGGGTGCTTTAAAAGGTTTGTTTTTTTTCATTTTCTTATACCTTTTGGTATAAGAAAATGGCATTTCTATCTCAGAAAGTTATTTTTCTATATACCTTCCTTGCATGTAGAATAACTCAATTTGCAGAAGATTGTAGCAGCCACAACCTGTGACCTGACTGATTGATGCAGACATCTCACAGCTTTCTAACTGGAGTGCAAGCTGTCCTTATTATCAGCTGATCACTCTCTAGACATACTCCAGCCAAGCAGCAGCAACACAGGACTGCCCAGTCCTTTGCCAACTGGGGAGCCTACCTTGCTCCCCCATAGAACACCACTTCATGCACAGCACCAAGCCATGGCTGTGGGATCCTCTTTAATCACTCCCCAAGGAGATAAATCACCAGACAAGTGGTAGATGGACCTTATCTACCACAAAATCTTGTGGTTCATGTTAGGGGCATCCTAGCACTAAAAAAGAGAGAGAAAAAAAAATTGCCTCAATTTATTCAGGATAATAAGGAAAAGGGATGAAAAATATATATTTTTTTTCAGTATGTAAAGATTCACTAAAATAAAAAGGGGATTAATTTTCTAAATACTTAATTGTCTTTTAGTGGTTAATCCCCCCATTCCCTTGTTCATTGTCATGGGGGACTTAGGAGATGGAGACTGAGACCCAGTATGGGGGATCAGCCCTACCTTGGACCTCAGCCCTCGCCTCAACTAATCTTGCATGGTCTTTCCCCTCCTTTCCTTTTCCTTCTCTTTTCCATCCCCTTCTGTCCACTTATCCTAATCGTCAATTCATTTTTACCTTTTTCACCACAATCCTTTATCCTAGTGCTACATGACCTTTGGTATTTGGCACATTTACATCTTTTTAACCATTAACCATTCTAGTAGTAAAACTAGATTTTAAAGCAGCAAAGAGATTAGTGAGTTTGAGCATTCACAAAAGTCCAGAAGTTATCTTTAACTTGGAGGGATGTTTTTCCTAAACCCTGTTTAGGTATCTATTAAATTTGCCTTAAAAATGTGCATTATCAATGGTGAATAAAATTATAATGGGATAATTATTTTAATTCTATGAATTTTCCAGTGCTAGCAAGAAAATTTACCACCGATAGGTTTGTTCAAAAACAAGGATTAAACTCAATGTCCTTTTTCCCAACCCAAATATATCCCTCCAACATTGGATATACCTGAGGCACAGATTTTCATTTTCTTGTTGATAGAGAGACAGACTGATGTGAGTTGGAAAGGTAACTGAATGTTTATTGTACATTTTCAATTTTGGTTGAAAGTGGGATGCACCCACCTTCCAAATCACCATTTTAGTGGGGTAAGAATAGTTTTCAGGCTTATTTTTAGTCAAAAAACTTCTGTTATATGGAAGAGCTTATGTATCTAAATGTTGAATTTGAATTTAGCCTTTGGACTACTGCATCAGATAAAAGGAGCAGAAACTTATGTTTTTGGGTCACTGGAGTAAGTTTTGAGAATCTAGATTCTGATATGCAGTTCTTGCAGATGTTATTCTTTTCTTGGGAAAAAAATGAAATGAAACAAAAATTATAAAGCTTGTTCAAATGTGAAAAAAACTGTCCTTTTGTGAAACTGGCTTTCAAAAAATTAATTTTCCATAATTTATTACCCACTTATCAAACACTCCTTTACATGAAAATAAAGCTTTGGCTGTTGCCTCTCTATAATCCCTGTTATACCGAAATATAATTCATTATAAAAGTAATACCCCTTTCTTGGAAATGTTAGATGTGATGAAGAGTTCAAAGTTCTTTGAGAGTTCATATGCATTTTTAAGAATATATGTGTAGATGCAGGTTCATTAATGTACACGTGTTCATACATGTATCCATATGTACCAATGTATACATATGCAGATAATTGTAATGTGTATGCATGGATGTAAGTCACAACAGAATGTTCTGTCAATATTCAAGGAGACAAGAGCACTAATAAATGAAAACTGTTGAGGGGTAATTCTTCAAATGTATAGGTATTCAAAACCCTAATTCCCCTCTACTGAAGAATCAAGAGAAGACCTCCTCAGGCTTGGAGGCATTGTTGGCTGAAGGAGAATTCTATCTGTTCGTTATAACTTATATTACTACATCTTCCAATAACATTTTATTACATTTAGTTTTGTATTTTTACTAGTCAATTTATAGAAAAGGGTAACTATAAATAAAACTGCTGATGAGATATTATCAAATTTTGTATATCTATGTACACATACATCTACTTTTTTATTTAAAAAAATGACACGGGCCAATTTCAACCAATCAATTCTGCTTTCGCAATAAAAAAAGAGAAAAAAAATGAAGAAGAAAAAAGGTTTAACATAAAATAATACTTGATTTTTCTAATCATATTATTCTTAATACCTTAAAATATTCTGAACAATCTCTTCGTAAAGAATTAGGTCTCAAAAACATTATGAATGAAGAGGAACATCAATCAGCCCAAAACAATCATTCATAATAATAACTATAAAAAGGAGAATTACAGAACTACAAATATCTACGGGCGCAATGGCGGCAACCCCAACTGTGCTCTTAGAGCATTGGCTTCAGCAATTTCTAGGTCTTCTCGACTCATTCCAGAAACATTGTCCCTCTTGCTGCGTCCACTGCGGTGGTGCTTCTCTTTACGGTCACTGCGATCGCGATCCCTGTCCCGGTCCCGATTTCGCTCTCTTCCATGATCTCTGTCTCCTCTGTCCTTGTCACGATCTCCATGACGATGGTCTCTATCCTTCTCTCCTCGCATACGCTCACGATGGTGTGTGTGGTGACCTTAATGAGACAAAATGTAATCAGTAAAAAAAAATATGCAATATACTTATATACTAAAAATATGCAATAACATTAGTAACAGAACTCTCCTCCCTCTATACCTCAAACTTTTAATAGCACAATGTAATTTAAATAGTACTGTCCTACTGCCAATGCAGAATAATCACACTTCATACCATGTATCTCAATATGGTTTTCTTTAAAATGCTAACTTGCTCATTAATAAGTAAATATGTAAATTACAGCATGAAGAACTCCACAAGCAAACACCCCCCCTCAGTCACTTCAAACATGAATCAAAAATGATTTCTAGTAATTTTCTTTCCTTACCTGGAGATCTTGATCGTGATCGGTGGCGTCTTTCTCTAGAGCGACTGCGATGACGTTTCCTCTCTCTCTCCATTTGCCTATCTCTGTCCATGCCTCGATCCCGATCCATACCTCTGTCTCTATCCATACCTCTATCTCGATCCATCATCCGTTCCCTATCCATGCCCCGATCTCTGTCCATCCCTCGATCCCTGTCCATGCCTCTATCTCTGTCCATTAATCTGTCTCTATCCATCCCTCTGTCCCTATCTGAACCCCTGTCTCTATCTATGCCTCTGTCCCTGTCTGCTCCTCTATTTCTTTCCATCCCATGATCCCTTTCCATTCCTCTATCGCGCTCCATGCCACGGTCTCTGTCACGTGACCGGCTCCTACTGCGGTGTCTGTAACAAAAGAATTTTCATAAATATATACACACATGCAATTCTCAATAACTCGCAAATTAAAAAATGCACATGTACACTTGCAAATGTATATAAAAGCACACACTCTTATCTTCACAGCATAAAGAGATCACACTGAACCAAGAATTTATTGTGGGCTTCTATGTAACTGTTTGAAAACACAAGCTGTGACTCATGTGAAATTCCTCACACTGCTGCTACCCATCATACATGCATGGAAAATTTACTACTGAATTTGAGTTCAATATCTATAATTTCTTTAGGTATGATAATTCTATACTTTTATTTTTTCTCTCTCTCTCATCAACAAAACACAAGACTGGAAAAAAAAAAGATAATGCCCTACTTCAAAGGCTTCTAAGCATATTATCTAAATGTATGTGGCAATTATCACTTTCATGGTGAAAGAGAATAATTTACTAACCTTTTTTCCCTTTCTCGTTCATTTCTTGTGTCTCTGCCAGGAGACCGGCGTAGAGGAGAGTGACCTCTCCCATGCCTCTCATCTCTGGAAAATTAGTAAACCTTATTACTTGAGAAATATTCTAAAGCAGAACACTGCATCATCAGGCTTTCTATCAGTCTGAATTCCTAATCCTCCTGTTCCATACAATGGGAATTTTTTAGTATGGATATATGTGACTAGTTATATTATATGTCTTTACGCACATGAAATGAGACGTGATAAAAATGTTGCTTTACTCCTTATGAGAAAATGTTTATTGCAATGAATAAGTAAGTGCATATGTGTAGGGGTAAAGGACTAGTCGTGAAGAGCCACTTGCCTGGGAGCAGTCCGGGAAGGTTCGATCATGTCTCTTGCGGGACGTGGTGGGGGTGTCAGAGGCTCTTCATCGTCGCTCTCGCTTTCTAAGTCATCCAAGTCATCATCTAATAATGAAACTCTTCCTTCTAGTTCATTGTTGGCTTCATGAACCCATCTGAAATAATTAAAAGCATACTTTGAAGGGTAGTATATTCATTAAAATCACTTATGAAGTACTTACACAAATTTGTGAGAAAATATCCAAGCACACTAGATGGAAACAGATATACAAATGAAAACAAATATAAATTAGAACTTCAAAAAACCTTATAAAAAATGTCAGCTATAAATCATGATTTTCAATCCATTCCATAACAGGTAGAATATAACTTCAAAATATTAACTAAAATTCTTTACCACTGCTTCCATTACTTAATTAAACGGTACAAAAATGTATGGCATTCCAACTATACTTTCCTTCAAAAGTCCTACTTAAATACAAAACAAACAAAAGGAATCAATGTTGAATCAATACTTATTTTCTACTTACCTTTTCTGCATTCTGGGTAAAATCACGTCACAAATACGTTCTTCTCTCAGTAAACTGTCAATGAATTCGTCCATGTGAGAGAGCTGATACTGGCCAGAGCGATCCATCAGACGAAGCTTCCTGTAGTCGTTAAGCAAAGGCTCCAAGTACTTGTAGCAATCTAAAGACCCATATACTATCCGTAAATAAAAGGCTCCTAGTGCACGCACATATCTGGAAGATCAGGACAGTGTCAGTTCATATAAATATGGTGAGAATTTGATCTTTGTGAGAAATGGGTGATTATTCATGCCTGGTCATTTATTGGTTATTAATACTATTACATGACATAAGATAACACAACAATTTTTTTTTTAACACAATAAGATAAGCTGTTATGCATCTATACAGTATCTTTTCAGAAATGTTATTAGCTGACTACTGGTGTATCAGAGGAACTAAACAACACGTGAGGTTTACTGAAAATATGTTCCGTGTCTGATTAACCCATTGCCACCGGGGAAAATGAACAAAAAATGGGGAAAATGCTGTTACTATTTTCTATATTTTTTTTGTGAAATGTTTGCCCATAGATGGCTCTGTTAGTGCCTGATTTGAAATGGCGGGAAAAATGTATTTTTCACTAGTACCATGAATATCGATGGTGTTATTTTTATTATAAACATTATAATTATTATAATGTTTTTTAACATTAGTAACGGCAAAATAAGATAATGTAAAATATTTCGTATATCAAAGAAAAGGGTGAACGGGCGAGACAGGCGGTACTTGTAACAGGCTCATTGGTGATTTAGTACAAGTGTAGCCATCTATGTGTGAAAACAATCAAACAAGTAATCTCACAGTGGGCACGGCATGGCATGCCCGTCGGCAATGGGTTAATCTGAGGAACTAGTCTCTATACAATCTATTATAACTTTTACATCTTAGTATTTAATGTCCTCAACCTTAGCTCTGCTTATAATTTCTCTATCTCTCTTTTTCTTTTTGACTTTGTTCTCACTTTTAGACTCTATTTGTCTAACATAATTGTTATTTTTCTCCAACCTTGCTTTATACCAATTATTTCTTTAACCTTACTTCTGCTATTGCATACATGAGAATCCACATGTTTATATTCCAGACACAGAAATTATGCGCAATAACAAAAACTCAAATATCTACTTACTTGAATTCATCTTGTTTAATAAATTCAATTATAATATCCTTTTCTGGCTGAATCTGGAGCATCTTCAACACGAGGCACAAGAAGGGCGTGGGTTTAATATTTCCGCCATACACTCCACCAATGCTCCTCAAGGCCATTGCTTTGTCTACTAAGAGCTCCGCTAAAAAAGGTGAGAGGGGAAAAAAATCTTAGAACATGATGCCTGTCTTTTGAATAAATCTCACAAGTTCATAAATCCTTGACACTTGCTCAGGGAATTTGACTGAATTTTGTCTAGTTCTTTTACAGATATACCTGCAGCTTTCCTTTGCCAAGATTTAAAGAAAAAAGACAATATATTAAATAATCTAACATTAATGTTATCATACTGGATTTTTCTTACATCAAAAAGAATCTCATCTATAAATGAAATTATAAACATGGCAGAGCAGACATTACTAATTGCTAAATAACCATTATTAAAACTGTGTCGTAATACATGACCTACATGACATGTTGCACTAATGAGTTATGTCAGTTTAGTAGCTACTTGAGACTGCAGAATAAATATCTTGAGACCACTATACAGAATGGAAATAAATAAATAAATATATAGTAATGTGTACATATCTGAAATCACTGCTAAGGTGACATTGATCAGTAGCTGATAATGCACATATTTTGATCACTATCTGAGCAAAAGGAGGTAAACAATTGAAATCTGACAGTTGATGGAAGAATTCATAACTCATCATCCTAGTATTAAACAAAAGTAAAACCATCACTAATTGTGACTTTTGTATGCACTTGAGGAAAATTCAACTAAAATGAAAATCTAATTGTGATTACTGTTCTCAAATTCACTATTTCATGGACAAAAAACAAAATAAAAAAACTATGTATGACAAATACTGATTCACTGGAAATGCTATAAAGAGAGACAAAATCTATATAATTCTTATGAAATAATACTCATGGACTAATGCAAAACAAAATCAGAAGAAATTTCTATTGTTTGTCACAAAGTTTGTGATGTTGATGGTCAAGAGGATTCCAGTGACACCAACGTCAATGGGTTTTATGATAGAGCCCAATCCTAAAAAAAGACCTATGAATCTTGTTTGTAAAAGTCATAAGTAAATATTTGGAACACCTTAACATAACCAATCACAATGAGGGGTATTTATAGATTCCCCTCACTCTCCACTATCCATTTATATATAAAAACTGTGCCATGGAAACCCTCAAGGATACACATTCTTGACCCCAATAACAGTGGAGGGTATGAAAGGAACCATGGAATATGTGGTGTAAAACAGGAACAAATCAGTATAATAATAATATATGCTGAATAAGTCATTGTATTGTCTAATGCAGAGGGCAAGAGTAAATGATGTGGATAAAGGAAAGTACCAGTGGCAGCACACTAGCCTCTGTCATAATCAGACATATCCTTACAAGTATTTTGGGTATTACAGACCAACAAAGCTGGTGGTGACCTGCTATCCATAACAGATTGTGGTTAACTGATGAGGGGACTCCATAAGCCTGGGGTATGGATACAAGATGATGGAGTGGAAAGTTCCACATATACCAGGAGAATGTATGGCAATAGTAGACACTACAAGGCAACAATTATCCCATCTAGATTGTGTGCTTACTGTGGCACCATCAACTGAGTAAGTTTTTTAAGCACAATATTAAGTTTCACCTCTTCTGGAAACTGTGTGCTACAGGGCCCTCAGCAGCACTGACACAGGACCGTGGGCAGCACTGATAATGCATCAACAGATGTCACAATGGCTAATTGTTGAGGGTGTTTATGGTCACTCTGCAAATTCATCCACAAGGTTGCATTGCCGTACAGCTATCTTCCTAGGGAGGGGTCTACAGTAGGTGCAGGTAGTCAGCACACCTAGACCTTATGGTAAAGAGGTTTAGGTGTGATAAGGTTGTTGCAGTGACATGAAAATAAGGCTCCACCACTTTCTGTGTGCCACAGTGTCACACTATCCACCGACCTATGACCTCGGGCCAGCTGCACCACACAGCCTCCACCACTCTCCCAGTTCAACAGCATCCATCAATCATGCGAGTATGTTATCATTCCTACACTGTATCTTGCTGTGTTAACCCTGCAAGCCAGCTATATGCTCTATCCTGCTGTGAATATGTAGAGGATTCTCTGTCTTCCCCTGTAGGGATTTAGAGTGGCAACTCCCAGGAAGGGGGTACAGCCCCCTAGATCTGACAGTATAATAACTTTTTATATATGAAGTGTTTTATATATGATGTGTTTTGTGTATGTGAATGTTCTTTTACAATGCAATTTCCCTGGTGCATTTTATATCCTCCCCTGCTATAAAGGCCCAGAATGTGGGGGTTTGGGGGTTTCCACAGCACGCATTCCATGTACACCGACAGAAGAGGGCGAGAAGGATCCAATGATACGACTATCATCATGACTGGTTAAGCAATGGTATTCTGAACAATGCCAAGCACTAGATAATTTGTTATTAATGATTCACACTTATTTTCAAAAATAATTGTTGCTTTTCATTTAAATTAATTTCTATGGGGCCACTTACGTTTCTTCCCCTTAATTTCCTAACAATAGTAAACAAACCAGGCGGATTATTTCAAGTTCTTAAACCTGAAAAGAATTCTGAAGTGCTATATTAACAAAGCGCATCGCTTTTCCTTATGACTGCGACCACGAAAGCAACAATAACATAGTAACGAACCTGTCAAGGCGAAACATTCTTCCTTCCAGTACCGGGAATCGTATATGCGAGTTCGAATAATTTTCTCCACTAAGTATTGCGGATTTGTGCCATGGATGGAGTGGGCATCCTTCACGGTCCGGTTGGCCATCGCGGAGGCTCTGGCTCGCGCGGTTCCTCTGCGAAAGGACTCGGGAGGAAGGCTCCCAGCAGGACAAGACGACGCGTGTTTACAAACGAACGAGGGACCGCGGGGATAAAGCTTTATCTGAGAGATCATATATATATATATATATATATATATATATATTTATATATATATATATATATATATATATATATATATATACATATATATATATATATGTATATATATACATATATATATATATATATATATATATATATATATATATATATATATATATATATATATATATATATATATATATATATATATATATATGTATATATATACATACATATATATATATATATATATATATATATATATATATATATATATATATATATATATATATATATATATATAATACACACACACACACACACACACACACACACACACACACATATATATATATATATATATATATATATATATATATATATATATATATATATATATATATGTATGTATGTATATATATATATATATATATATATATATATATATATATATATATATATATATATATATATATAATACACACACACACACACACACACACACACACACACACACATATATATATATATATATATATATATATATATATATATATATATATATATATATATATGTATGTATGTATATATATATATATATATATATATATATATATATATATATATATATATATATATATATATATATATATATGAGTGTGTGTGTGTGTGTGTGAGAGAGAGAGAGAGAGAGAGAGAGAGAGAGAGAGAGAGAGAGAGAGAGAGAGAGAGAGAGAGAGAGAGAGAGAGAGAGAGAGAGAGAGAGAGAGAGAGAGAGAGAGAGCGTGTGTGTGTGTGTGTGTGTGTGTGTGTGTGTGTCTGTGTGTGTGTGTGTGTGTGTGTGTGTGTGTGTGAGTGTGTGTGTATATGTATATATGTGTGTGTGTGTGTGTGTGTTACCCAATTCTTACCTAGTTGTTTCAATATAAGAGAAAAGTTCAGATGGTCCCGTCTGCTATATTTAAATTATCATATAACTTTTTAAATTGATGCACCTTTTTGGCACACACATTTGGAAGATTGTTCCATGCTTCAATAGTTCTGTTTGGGAAACTGAACTTCTTGACATCTTTCTCGCCTCTTTTTACTGTCATCTTTTTGCTGTGTCTTCTCGTCCTTCTTTTGTTCAAAATGATAAAGTCATCTTTGTCTAACTTCCCCCTTCCTGTAATATAGTTGAACATCATTATCATGTCACCTCTTTTTCTTCTTTCTTCCCAAGTAATAAGACCTATTTTCTGTAGTCTTTCTTCGTAGCTCATATCTCCTAGAGTAGTTTATCTATATACTTTTTTAAGTGTGGACTCCATACCACTGCACCATACTCGAGACTAGGTCTTATGATGCCTGCAATGGCCTTCTTTACCACATACACGAATACCCTCTTCATGTTGGCAATCAGCCCTAGCATTTTATAAACCTTGTCATCTATATGATCATTTGGGCTTAGGTTCCTGTTTATGATTATTTCATATTTCATAAGTCGTCTCTTTCTTGTAATATATCAGAAACTCTATCATAGAAATAGAGGAGATTTGATATGCATGACCCTCCTTCCCCAAAACCAAATCGTTTATTTGATATCATATCGTGTTTTTCAAATATTTCAACCCACTGTTCCCTAATTATCCTTTCTAACAACTTGCATACGACACCAATTAACAATACTGGTCTATAATTTAGAGGGTTTCGTTTGTTTGCCGCCGTTCTTGTATAAAAGTGTAACATTGTCAAGTTTTCAGTATTTTGGTAGTTTTTCTTGTCTCACTGAATTTTGCAATATTAACAATAACGGAGTACATAATTCTTCGGCACATTCCCTCAAGAACCCAGTTAGATATCTCATCTGATACTTCTGCTTTAGTCTTGTCTAACCCTTTCAGTAATTTTTTTATTTCATTCTTTTCGAGTGTGACATTTTCGATATTCTGATTTAAGTTTCTACGGTTACTTGTCATTTCAAAGTATGGGTCCTGAGCAAACATTTCTCAATAAGGATTTCACATATTTCCTCCTCCTGAGTATAAACGATGTTATTGTCTTTGATGGCGCTAATTTGATTTTTACTTTTAGTCTTACTATTTATGTAGTTAAAGAAGAGCTTTGGTTGGGTTGTACATTTATTGATTATATCCTTTTCAAAGTCTAATTTCGTCTCCCCCATGGTTTGGGTATACTCTGTTCTTCCTTCTTCATACCTTTCATGCGCTCCCTTTGATCTAAGTCTTCTGAACCTTATCCAAAGGAATCGTTTTTCTCTCATTTTCTTGCATTTATCAATGAATCACGTTTGGCCATTTCTTGCTTCAGTTTCGAATCTTGATACATTTTTTCTACTCCTTGTTTATAGGCTTCGCAAAATTTAGAATATTGCATATCAAAATTCTCTTCGTTCAGGAGGGTTTTCCAGTCTATGTCACCAAACAAATCTTTAAGGCTTCTATAATTACCTCTCTTGTAATTGTACTTTCCTTTTCTTTCCTTACTTATTTAGTTTTTCCTGTAGCAGACAGGAAATAGAAACTTTCCTTGTCAATTTTGTGATTAAGATTCCCCGTTACAAGAATTTATTTTGTATTAGTTTCCGAAAGTTATAGCACTTCTTCCGGGCTCCTTAACGTTTCTTGAATAAGTCTTTGGTAATTTTCTTGTGACTACATCGATGTATAAGGCTGCATGTACACTGTGGTTATCATTATATTTAATCTGTTTGTTTCTACCTCAATTGCCTTTAGTTCTACTATGGGATCTTGCTGAATCTCTGTCTCCTTTATAAGCATTCATTTTCTTGTTAACATTGCTAACGCCCCTCCATTTCCATTTGCTCTATCTTTTCTCCAAATGTTGTAGTTTCTGAGTCTTAATGTTACATAGTCTACGGAGGGATCCAGTTTGGATTCAGTGATTCATTACATCTGGTTTATTACTTTCTTCAACTGCATCTAGTTCTAGTAACTTCGAACATAAACCATCTATATTTGTATAAACTATTTCTATATAATCTTTCGGTATTCCTTTTGGCTGTAAGGCTAATGTTTCCACATTTTGGTT